GGGTTTGCACAAAAACCTAAATATAATCTGCCTCTGAGGGCTAATGTTGTGACTGGCAATGACTAATGGCTAGTCAGACATGTAAGAGAATGTAGATCCGGAATTATCTCAGTTAATGAAAATGTGCCAAATAACTGACTTGCATAATTAGCTTTATATGTGTCAGAATTACTCCGTATTGATATTTCGTTTGTGCCTTTTTTGTTAGAATAGAAATGCATGGCTATTGTTGCCAATGCTATATCTCGCTTACAAGTTTGTGTACAAGTTAGTCAAAGAAGCACATTTTACTTTTTTACCTGTTTGTGCATTTTGTTCCATTATAACTATCAGCTTTGGGATATAAAATGAACAATCAAAACATCAATACATGAACATTTGTTTTGCTTAAAAACACTAAGCACAGAAAGTTTGAATGTGATGCTATGTGAATATTAATAAAAAGATTTTGTGTAACTATGTTAAACTGCAAAGAGGAAACAAAGTCATTGATTTACACAAAACTGCTATTTGCATTTGAAGACAACATCGTTCTCTCAGAAGTTATAATTCAGAGGGCATATTCAGTGCTCAGAAAGTGCTATTTAAATGGCTAAATTGTTAATACATGCTGTTTCAGTCATGCTGTTGCTAATATGAGAAACAATAAATGCTAGCAAATACATTCTGCTCATAAGAATTCATTTGAAATTGTCAGCATAAAAAGTATTTTGATGGACCGCAAATTTTTATCCATTTACTTTTTTCTCCAGTTTACCTAATAAAAACAGCAGCTTTTTATGAACTGTATGCCTTTAAATTCAAATTGTGAGAATACAACCCCAGAAAAAAACAATTTTTTCAGCTGAGAGGCTTTGCATTATATGTTAAATCCCTTTTCGCTTGCTGCTGCAATCCACCATTCATTTGAAGCATGTAATTCTCCGATTTTTTTTCAGTGTGATTGTTGTCATTTCCAGCACATTCATATCATCATTCCCACTCATATGTAAACCTCATGTGCATTTCTTATGTTTATGATTATGTTTTACCTGACTCATTCTCCCTGCCGTTACAGAGTCCGACTTCCAGGCCTTCACAGGCTGACCTGTGGCTGTGACCCCCTCTTACCCCCCCCGAGGTAAAACGTAGTGTAGACGTCTCTGCAGCTCTTAAGCATAGTTTTCAGCTCTTCTCCCCATTATTCACAGTTCATGAACATTTGTGTATTTGTGTAATTACCTGAGAGTTTGCAGCTCCTGCTGTAGAGCATGCAGTATTCCAGGAAAACATTGAACTCTAGTCATTTGTGCATATAAATACTTAAGTAGAGTCAAAATAACAAACAGTCCTCAGTTTTATGACTCTGTGTTGTTTTAATTCATCAAACACAACACAAGAAACTGTGAGGCAACACTAATACTGGATTCATCCGTCTGCTCTTAACAGGTGAAGCGTTCCCCGGTGCTCTGCTCTCTCTTTCTGCTTCTTTGTCTCTCTCTGCCTGGCACACCTGCTGCTCAGAGCCTTTTCAAAGTTTTATTTGAAAAAAAAAAACCCGGGCAACACTACACAAAGGTCAAAAATGTATGTGCTAAGTGTGTTTGTGTATGAATGTGTTCTGAGTCTTGGAGAGGCAATACTGGATTACTTTTTATATATTAATTAAATGTATGGCCTGCACTGATCAAATATATGAACTAATATAAAAATTCAAGTGTCTTAAGGACAAAGTTCATTAACATTTTAATAATGAATGATTCAAAGCTGCAATGAATGTATAGTTGCACTTGAAATGCTATATTTGAGAATTTAAAATCTTCATAACTTGATAAAGGTTTATTATTTATTCAGAAGGGTTTCTTGTGTTTTCATTGAAACCTCTGCTTTTCATAACTCATTATTTTGCAGTTGTTTTTATACACTACGGTTCAGAAGTTTTGGGTCTGTAAGTTTTTTCAATGTTTTTGAAATAATCTTATTCTCACCAAGACTGCATGCAAAATAAAGTTAAAGCAGTAATATTGTAAAATAAGTGTTTTCTATGTGAATATATTTTAAAATGTAATTTATTCCTGTGATGCACAGCTGGATTTTCAGCATCATTACTCCAGTCTTCAGTGTCACACGATCCTTCAGAAATCGCTCTAATATGCTGATTTGAGGCTCAAGAAACATTCTTTATAATTTATTATCAGTGTTGAAAACAGTGTTGCTGCTTAATGTTTTGTGGAAACCGAAACGTTTTTTTTTTCAAGATTTTTTGATGAATAGAAAGGTCTTTTGTAACATTGTAAATGTTTACTGACCCCAAACGTTTGAATGTTAGTGTAGATTTGCCAAGACATAAAGGGGTAATAAGTATTTTTTTGTGTGATTGTAAAGGTTAAGTGTCATTTCTGTGGCTTACACATGGTACCAAAAATAATGACTATTTACAAACGTCATCAAGGTTTGGCTAGTTAGCATGGCCTCATCGTCACCTGCCAGTGATGCCTTAACTACACAGTCAGTCTACAGGCAAAAAGCATTTTTCTACAGACAAACATATATCTTTTAATATATGCATGGTCATAATGAAAGAGAGAAGCCACACACATCAAGCAGTGCTGCTACACAGATTCACATTTAATTCAGAACCATTTAAAAATTATAGTCATATGTTTCTTTTTTATATTTTTCTACACATTTGCTACAGGAATAAACAAACAGAGCTCTCTGTGAATTATTTACAGTGATCACACGACATAAAGGCTGCACTAGACATTAAAGATGTGAAAGCACTGAATGTTCGTAAGAGATTTGACAGCAACCAGAAGATGTTACAGGTGCCTTTCAGGTACCTTCCAATGAATTCAGTTCAGACATGACTGTGCATATATGTTCTCATGTTTGACTGCATGAGACATGCTGGGTTCTTTCGTCGTTTCTACATTTGATACATGAATTGCATTTTTGGCCATGGTAAAGAAAGCATTTTAAGAAAAAAACCTGCATTTTTCAACATCAAACATTATATGTATATACCAAGACTGCATGCAAAATAAAGTTAAAGCAGTAATATTGTAAAATAAGTGTTTTCTATGTGAATATATTTTAAAATGTAATTTATTCCTGTGATGCACAGCTGGATTTTCAGCATCATTACTCCAGTCTTCAGTGTCACACGATCCTTCAGAAATCGCTCTAATATGCTGATTTGAGGCTCAAGAAACATTCTTTATAATTTATTATCAGTGTTGAAAACAGTGTTGCTGCTTAATGTTTTGTGGAAACCGAAACGTTTTTTTTTTCAAGATTTTTTGATGAATAGAAAGGTCTTTTGTAACATTGTAAATGTTTACTGACCCCAAACGTTTGAATGTTAGTGTAGATTTGCCAAGACATAAAGGGGTAATAAGTATTTTTTTGTGTGATTGTAAAGGTTAAGTGTCATTTCTGTGGCTTACACATGGTACCAAAAATAATGACTATTTACAAACGTCATCAAGGTTTGGCTAGTTAGCATGGCCTCATCGTCACCTGCCAGTGATGCCTTAACTACACAGTCAGTCTACAGGCAAAAAGCATTTTTCTACAGACAAACATATATCTTTTAATATATGCATGGTCATAATGAAAGAGAGAAGCCACACACATCAAGCAGTGCTGCTACACAGATTCACATTTAATTCAGAACCATTTAAAAATTATAGTCATATGTTTCTTTTTTATATTTTTCTACACATTTGCTACAGGAATAAACAAACAGAGCTCTCTGTGAATTATTTACAGTGATCACACGACATAAAGGCTGCACTAGACATTAAAGATGTGAAAGCACTGAATGTTCGTAAGAGATTTGACAGCAACCAGAAGATGTTACAGGTGCCTTTCAGGTACCTTCCAATGAATTCAGTTCAGACATGACTGTGCATATATGTTCTCATGTTTGACTGCATGAGACATGCTGGGTTCTTTCGTCGTTTCTACATTTGATACATGAATTGCATTTTTGGCCATGGTAAAGAAAGCATTTTAAGAAAAAAACCTGCATTTTTCAACATCAAACATTATATGTATATGTATATTTATCACAAAAAAAAAAAGACAATGTTATACTGTCAGTTTTCATAAATTAGGACACTTTAAATCTGATGCTTGTGTGGAATGCAAATGGCTCTTAAAACCACAATTTCCCTGAAACTCTAAAGAATTTGGCCCCTGCAAAGCGTTTCCAGCATATGGAAAGCTTTCAGTCTTTTAAAGAGTGACAACATTCATTTCTGACTTGTGAAAAGGAGCGAGGTGCATGGGTAAAGTGTAAGTGAAAAAGATGTAATAGTAACACAGTTGGGATGTGGCTCACTGAGGAAGGGCTTTCAGAATGGCATTCACTTCTTCTGCCACAGCTGTCAGGGCGAACTCAAACTGGTCCTGAAGAAACAATCGAGCTTAGTGCATGAATTCACTCTCACATTCACGTGCTGAAATCATGGGAAAGCACTTTGTACATACCTTAGTGCGTACCATACTAGGTCTCTGGTCACGAATATGCTCCAGTGTGGCGGCAATGTCAATCTCCTTCACGCCTAATACAGACAAGCAACCTATGAGCATGCGGCGCGTACATGAAATGAAACGGCTAGATAGAGGAACAAGGTGCTTACCTTTCGCCATGCGGTTAAGTACCATGTCAATAAGAATGTAGGTGCCGGTTCTGCCAGTACCATCGCTGTGCGAAACAGGAAACCCATTTAAATCATTCATTTTCAATAACAGTAATAAAAAACACCCATATTGTGAGCCTGAGACACACTGTAGCCGTTTACCTGCAGTGCACAATGATTGGGCATGAGCGTCCTCTGTAGCACTTGTTTACTTTTCTAAAAAAAGAAAAAGGGAGGATAGAAGAGAGAAAGAAAATGAAAAACTGAGCATGTAATAATGAGCATAACTGTCAGTTTGTCCAACCCTACAATGTATTCTTCTGTTGACAAAGAGGAACTGAGCGGGGCTGGGGAAGGAAGGGGGAGAGAGGAGATGGAGCATCCGTTAAGCCTCGCTCCTGCTGCACTCACACCTACCAATGATCATTTTTGTGACTATGCAACTGGACCCAGACTACTAGCTGCAAATCACAAAAATGACACTGGGAGGTGTGCTACTTCCAGGGACCTACCGACCTCCATCTGAGACAGAGAGAGTGACGGTGGGAGGAGGAGGAGGAGAGAAAGGCAGGAGTAAAACAGAGCCCGTGTCGAGCACAAATGGGGAAGGTCCAAAGTGCAAATGTATTCAATGGATGAGGAACGAGGAAGGACTGGACTTTAAGGTAAAGAAAACATCCACAGATATTTAGGGAATCCCAAGTGTGAAGCTGATCCTCATATTAGGGTGAGGAAAAACAGTAGGGAAAATTATTTGCTATGACACAATGAGTTTGTAGTCTAAATTGATTTTTTTTATGTTTATTTGATCATTTAAATAATGATTATTTTGATAATTTAGTTTCTGAGTCAGCCATGTGGAACACCTTTTACCTTACACTACCAAGAAGAAACATTTTTTTGTATGTTTTACTTTTATTTATTTCACTTTTATGCTATTAAATATTATATTTACTCATTACTTGCATTTTTAATGCATTTAAACAATTTTTTTACCTTACACTATCAACAATAAACACTTTGTATGTTTTTATCAATAACATATTAAACATTTAAACAATGAAATATATTTACTCATTGTGTTTATGCATTTTTAGAAAAACGTAGTATATACATAATTTGGAAAAATATCTTAGAAAACTTTGTACACAAAGCAATGACAGTAATTTATTTCTAGCTGACAGTTATTTGTTTCTAGCAGTTTTTTTGGCTGTTGTTATTAAGTCAACAAATCTTCAGTACAGATATTCACAGGTGCACCTGTAATTTACCAGAGCGCTCACTAAAAATTGTCTCGCTCGCAGTTAATTTTGTGTTCAATATCAATTCGGATGTGACTGTGGAAACGTTTATTCTGTAATTATCCACGAGTTTTACCAATTTTAAGACCGTTTTGTGAACATTATGTCATATGAATTCGGCATTATGTTCTCCATGAGGGAAAAAAAGATGCTGCCTCCCTCTGAAACTCTATCCAGCCGTGCTGCTATTGGACAGTATTACTTCATTTGCACACTATTATCGTTTAGTACATTTGTTTCGCTATTTCTGTATTGTCAAATTATTTCCTCATCTGAAATTTTTGAGGAGCTACTACCTGATGTGTGTGTGTAATCTGTCTGTAGTCCTATCAGAACGCGAGTTGCAAGTGTGAGGTGGTGTTGGGTTGTGGCAGTACCTGCGGAAGTCCAGCAGGGGCCGTGTGGAGGAGGGAATGCCTTGTGCAGGCCAGCTCAGCAAGTGAAACTGGGTCAGAGTGCGGGTCTCCTGAGTCTGAACGTTCTTCAGGTAGAAACTACGAACCAAGAAGTCTTTACACCAGATGTGTTCAGATACCAGGTTCACCTGAGACATACAAGAAAAAATAGGTAGTAAAGACTAAAAAACTAAACGCAAGGGACTTTTAGGGCAATGAAACTGAATGTTTCTCACCTCATAGATGTTGTATAAAGATGATCCTTCATCAGGCCAGTAACGTTCACATTGTTTCTCTCCATCCTCCACTAGAGCGGTCATCATCACTATTACAGTACAGCCGTTCTCCCATACCATCTAACATATGTACCAAAACACAGTGTCAGTATACAAAGAATTTATATATAGGCCATGCATATTCATTTAATCTAAACCATTTTACTGTTATTCTATTATTCCATTTATAGCCATTTAGTAATATATTAGTTATTTATATTTTTGTTATATATTTTTTTCTAATATTCATATTTTATACATATTTAAAAATATTTTATTTGTTAAATCTAAATCTTAAAATGTCATCATTACTCTCAACTCTTACCTGCCAGAAATCAGCAATAGTGTGCGGTAAAGGTCCTTGAGTTGCAATATAAGCAGGTAAACGTGGATCATGATCAATCTATGGGTAAAGAAAGGAAGTCCTTTTATAGACAAACAAACAAGTATTTAATTATCTAGCAAACAGCAATGACTTTGTTTTGTTGTGGAATGAAGATTATCGTTTCTTACTATAGTGCTGGCATTTATGTAGTCCTCTTTTGAGGAGTTGACCTCTGCCTTTATTTTCACTCTCGAATGGTCATCTAAAACATAAAATGTTTTAATTAAACATACTGAAAATGAAAAAAATTAATAAAAATTAAGTCATCTTTGGTATACCCTTATTTGCATCTACCAGTGTACAATACTTTTCAAAAGTTTGGGTCAGTAAGATTTTGTAACGTTTTTGAAAAAAAAATCAAGACTGTAAGGCTGCATTTATTTGCTCAAAAATGCACTAAAAACAGTAATATTGTGAAATATTATTACAATTTAAAATAACATTTTCCACTTGAATATATTTTAAAAAGTAATGTATTCCTGTGATGACAAAGCTGAATTTTCAGCATCATTACTGCAGACTTCAGTGTCACATGACCCTTCAGAAATCAATCTAGTATGCTGATTTTCTGCTCAAGAAACAGTTCTTAGTATTAGCAATTTAGACAACTGTTGCTCTGCTTAATGATTTTCTTATAAAAATAGAAATTGACGTAGAAATCTAATGTCTATACTATCACTTTTGTTCAATTTAATGTGTCCTTGCTGAATAAAAGTGATTCATTTCTTTCCCAAAAAATCTTACTGTAGTGTATAGTGTATATGGATCACTGAAATAAATGTTTTTTTTTTTTTTAAAGGCACATTGCTCTCACAGGGCACAAAGTCGGGATAGCGGTTTTTCTCCATGTTGCTTTCAGACTGGGCGATAGAGACAGAGCTCGACTCAGCCTGGTACGAACACAATGCCTCCCACTCTTTCCGTAATCGGTCCTTATTCTTCAGATGGTCCTCCATATATGCCTGAACAACAGAAATGGACTTGAAGCATTCCACTGACTGCTCATGAAATGCCTAGTTTGCTTCTATGTAATTAATAAACAACTTGGCATGACAAAAAAGACTCCAACTTAATCCCCAGAACTGACTAATATAAGTAAAATAAGGCATGAAGACAAAACTCTAATAGTTCTTCTTTGCTTAAATTTACTGCAGTTTTGGGCATGTTTAAATATAGACTTGGTTTGTGCAAGCAGGTACTGCACCCTATTTACTGATATGTGCTGAACAGTCAGAAACTGTAGTGCAATAATTCCTGTTAATTAGAGTATGATTCTCACTTTTTACAGCACATAGAAAGATGCTGCATATTACACACACTAGCAAAGTAAAGTCTGAATTATAATTTGTGTATTTAAAATGCTTTTGTGGCTGTGTACCAGTATCATGTGTCCGGTGGAGATGTCCATGTTGGACTGTGCAGGCTCTTCGCTCCAGGACGGTGTGCTGCTGTGAGAGCTGGGACTGTGCTGCGGTCCATCGCTGAACTGAGACGACACACTGCTGACTCGAGATGTGTCGGTCCCCCGTCGACCGCCTGGCTCCGGACGGGTGAACGATGACTTGGCTGCCATGTGCTGGCGACACAGCTCCTGAGAGACGCGGAGAAACCTTCTCATCACTGACTGAGCATTAATGTTTCAAATGACGTTTTCAGATCAATAATCATCACTGTCAATGTACAGTTAGCAATAGCACTAATACTCAATGTCAAATGAATATAAATGCAATTACAGTGCTGATTATATGCCAGTTACACCTGATTAGGATTGATTAAATTGATCAAAAGTGAGAGTAAAGACATTTATAATGTTACAAAAGATTTCTACTTCAAATAAATGCTGTTCTTTTGAACTTTCTATTCATCAACAACCTGAAAAAAAAAAAATATATATATATATGTATATATTAAGCAGCACAACTGTTTTCAACATTGATGATAATGTTAACAATTAATGCCTTAAGCTGCAAATCAACATATTAGAGTGATTTCTGAAGGATCATGTGACACTGAAGACTGGTGTAATGATGCTGAAAATTCAGCTTTGATCACAGGAATAAAGTACATTTTAAAATATATTAAAATAAAAACAGTTGTTTGAAATTGTACTAATATTTCACAATGTTACTGTTTTTACTGTGTGTTTTGATCACTGAATGCAGCCTTGGTGAGCAAGCAAAAGACCCCAAAGGCATTTCAGGCTCCTGAAAAGGTGGTGATAAGAGTTTATTCATTATGCAATATTTCAGGTACTATATGACAATATTCCATGTGCCATTATATTGTTTTCTTTCATTTCTGTGTAATGTGTTTTTTAAATTTTTGATTCTTTTAGGGTCATTCTATATACGTTTTTGTCCTGATTACATTTTCTTTTTTGGATGATATAGTAAATATCTTAATGTCGCTCTGTATCTTTCTCTTTCTGTGTTTTTGTGTGTGTTTAACATTGTACCTGGTAATCAAAGTGGGTTTCCGCACCGGCTTCTGGTCCCAGTCCCAATTTGCCAGAGGCTAACTGACGGGTGTGGTGCCGGAGACAGGCAATCGCCAGGGCAACTAACAACACCGTGCCCACACACGCCATGGCGACCATTGTCAGGACGACCCCACGCGAACCCTCTCCTACCCGTGTGGCCTGGGGCAAGCCACGCCCCTCGCTCCTCTATAATACGGGAGAGAAACAGAAAAAGAGATATATAAGAAACGTGAGACAACATAATACAAAAAGGACAATGGCGGGGAAAAAACAAAACGCAAGGAAATTAAAATTAAAAACATTTCAGAGATCGCTTTCATCGCACAATCAAATAAGGAAAGTGCAGTGTTTGTGTGGTCTCTCTGGCACAAGACAGTGTCTTCCCTGCACTCTCTCGTCCCTCTTTTGTCTCTCTCTCTATTTGTGTAAACAAGTCGGATGTCATCATCAACTACTAATTACCCTGGCAACCCAGACACACACGCACAGCCACGTGCCACCCCGAAATAATTAGAGAAAGTCACTGACCCGCCCGCCCCGCTGAAAAATTACCAGCAAGTAAACAATTAAGGAAATCCCCCACACAATGCAGGGTCAGTCACTCTGAGGGGATCTCTTACACACTCTCATTTAGTTTATTCCATCTCTCTCCCTCTGCACTTACAGCACATCGAGAGAACAAGAAAACGAGCGGATGCAATGATTGTTGATGTCATGCAGCCGCCGTCCCAGCCCTCTTACCCCGTGTCTCCAACCCCTGCCTATTGGTGTTGCCATGGTGTCTGGGAGCCTCAGCAGGGGAGAACAGGCCGTAGCGCTACCATGGCAACAACAGAATGCTCAATGTAACCCATGGCCATCACAGTGAGCAAAGGAAATGAGAGAGGAGAGCAGAGGAAATATGCTATTGTCAATATGCCCACATTATTATATTGAATAATATGTGGTGTTATCTACAGAAACCACCTTAGTATGTCATACTTACCAGCACATCTTTTTAATCCATATGCATTCTAATCCTTACCTTTGGGTGTTATTATTTTGGTATATTTATGTGTTAAAATATAAGATGCTGCTAAATATTTTACCACGATTACTCAAATAAAAGAGAATATCCTCTGTACTAAAATAAATCCCAGCCTCTGTAAGATTGAAATATACATAAACACAAAACTGCACTTGCTCGGGTAAATGTATGCTTGATTTATGTCATTAATAACTACATTTATACTAAAATAAAACACAGCCTCTGTAGAACTTTAGGATGATTAAAAATACGTAATCACACAACTGCACTTGCTCAGGTAAACTTATGCTTGATTTGAACTAATTTCACACTTATTATACAAATACATACATATATATTTATACTAAATTTATACTTATTATCTTGAAGTCCTACAGAAGCTGTAGTTTATTTTACAGCTTCTGTAGGACTTCAAGATAATTAAAAAAACATAATCACACAACTGCACTTGCTCATACGAATATACGCTTGCTTTATGTCATTAATAACTACATTTTCATTAATAATTAAAACTTAATATTACTTGCGTCCAGAATATCAATGAATATTTGGCAAGAAAATCATTCTGAAAAAAGTACAGGGGATTATGACAAAAATATCAGGAACTTTTAATTAATTTATTTCAATCAATTATTTTAACTCCTCCATTCAATTAAATTATATGCCTCACATATCAACCAAACCTGATCAAAGAAATATTGTAATTTAGTGCATAATGCTCAATATTTCATAATATTTTGATGATTTCAATGAAATTATATGCCTCTCATATCAACCAAAGCTGATTAAAGAATTATTTTAATTTAGTGTACAATCCTCAATATTTAATAATATTGTAATGATTTTAATGAAATAACCATTTTAAGAGTTTTTGTAAACAATTGCAAATTGACTGAATACAACTGAACACAATCTTTTGAAACCATTTTTATAAATGACCGACCTTTACATCCATCGATATTTACTTTTCCACAAAAATTTTCAAAAGACTAATTATCCCTTGAGGTATTAAAAAAGTTGTAAACTAAAAAACAAATCTCGCCATGTGAAATAAAATAGCAAAGAATGCAACATGAACTTTTAACAACCTATTCTTACACTGGCTATAATTTTCGCACAGGCACCCACTGGTTTTTCTGAGAAAGTGGAACAGACCTTTAGGCTGACACCTCACCACTATCTCTGCAGCGCACAGGCAGCCGTTAGAGCTGAGCTATAGCAAAAGAAAAATATTGAGTGAATGAGCACTTAAGTCTGACCACAAAGAGGTCAGGACGCTTTCCCTTCTTTTCTGTCCTTTCTCAAAATTCATCAACCATTTTCCCCCTCGCTCTCTGTCCTCCTCACACCCATTCTCCCTCTCATTCTCCTTCTTCGTTCCTCACACGTTTCATTCTGCCCCTCTTGTTCCCACTCAAATTCGGCCTTTTCTCCTAAAAAGCTAGAAGAATGTTCCACAGGAGAGACTGAAGGAGGTGGAAGGCGGGAGGGGGTGGTGGTGTTGAAGCAAGGGTGCGCGACTGGACGGAAGGACAATGGGGGAGGAGATAAAGGGTGTGGGGCGCCTCACCTGCTACTCCAGAGAGGCCCCGAAAGGAAGACTGACAGCCTTTTAGAATGGAGCACAGGAGCAGGCAGGAAAAATGAGCTGGTTTAGGACAAGAGGACAAAGGCCCCCCAAGGTCTGAGAGGGGCAGGCGGAGAAATGAGGAGGCAGAGAGAAAGCGGGAGAGAAGGCAACTGATCACAAGGAGAGAAAGCATGGTTACAGGGAACGAGAGAGTAAAACTCTGCGCAGGAGGGGGAAAAGGGGTCCGGAGAGGGTGATATGTGAGGAAGAACCTCACGACATGCGTAAAGAAAGCATAACGCACAGTTCAGCACATACTCTATATATACGAACATGTCGCTACGAATACTAATGTGCATTTGAATCACAATAAGCTGTTGGCCGAGGAAGCATAATTCAAACATCTGTTCCTCAAGAAGCGGGAAAATAGGATTCAGGGTCCCAGGACCCCTCTGCCGTTCCCCATGACCCCCGAGCCCTTTGACCTCAGCCACAAAAAAAAAAGGAGATACACACACACAAACACACACGTATGGCTGTGTGTGTGCTTGTTTGTTTTGGAGGATCCCAAGGGCAAAGATCACCAAGAGCTTCGCACTCTGAATCACAATAGGCAATTCAGGCACGGCCCGAGATGTCCGAGTCAGAAATGGAGCACCGACCATCTCCGAGGCTCTCGGTGATCTAAGATTTCATCAGTCCGTCTGTCCCATTATCTATCTTCTGCTCCATTCACTCGCTGTGAATTGATTTCACAATTCAGCAGGACTCTGCTGTTATCTGATAGAGGCGTTCAGACTATGACTCGTCAGAATTCACATCACTGCCGTCGTCTCGCTGCTTTTATATTGCACAGCAGAAGGTCTGCGGTTTTTATTGAGTTTCCTCTAAAAAAAAAAACCTTTAGAGAGTTGTTTATAATGGATGATTTTTCTCCCTCTTGCATCTTTCAATACCACCAGCTGTTTTTTTATAAATAATATTTGAAATAGAGTAACTGTTCTTTTGTAACCCTCTAGATGGAAACTAGAAAATGATTAAAAGAAAATTATCTAAAACTATCTAAGGGTAAGCAATGAAATGTATTTTAAGGTAACAAGAAAAATTAACATCCAGTTAATTCCACTCACTAAATGAGTGATTTTAGCAGTGATGATAGCATTTTATGCAATAAAACCTTTTTTTACGACCTTACAATAATATCTAATTAGTGCACGAAACCAAGAGAAATAGTATGAACTTAGGTGCACCTGCAATGTCTACAAACGGATTACATCATCTCACTCATCCAGCCTGCTCTGCCCTGTTACCACAGCAACCGGTCCACCTGACATCACTATTCAAGATAGAGCACAATTCTTAAAAACAGCATTTAACAAAAATGTTTTATCAAACGCACATATACCTTACGGATCCAGCACATGGCATTGCGCATACACCATACACACACATTCGTAAGTATGCCAAGCTGAATAACACCGAAGATGTGAACTGAGATCAAATGCATTTGGTTAATTGTTATTTTAGTTTTAATTTCTTAGCATAATTTTTCCAAATACTACCAAATAGTAAAATACACATATTTTAGTTCTGTTATTATGGTAAGATTTGTTGCCACAGATGCAAAAAAAAAATGTGTTTTAAGTTTAAGAATAAATATTTGTATCAAATAGTTTATATATCGTTTACATATGTAGACAATTCAGTTGATAATCATCATAATTTATTTTTACCCCTGAAAACTAAAGAGAGAGAGAGAGAAAAATGTAATACCTCCTTATAAGTTTAGGCTAGTGTTTTAGTCTAGTTTAGTGTTGTTTGGTAACTAGAAAGAAGAAGTTTGAGTAATTAATGTGCATTTGTTTTTCACAGATTTATGGAACTGATAAAGCCTACAATATATATTGTACAAAACACTGACTTACACTTAAAATACAGCATTATTCGCAACTGTGTCGTAGCTTTTAACTGATATGGTATTTCAAGGAGTGTATGGGTGTGCAAAAGAGAAAAAAGTTAAACATTTTTTGAGCTGTGATCATTTTTAAATGATGTATATTACAAAGCAAATTTAATGCAATAGTTTCTACCGAAAGGAGAAAAAAATTCTGAAATATATATATATATATTACAAATGTTAATTAAATCTGATAAATCAGGAAACATGATTAATGGCATCAGCATATTGATCGACTATTAAAGCGATAGGTATGCACACACTTTTTTACATTATTTATAAGGAAAATATATCATAATGTCAAGCACAACCATCAGAAAAACATCCAAATAACTACACATCTCAGCATTTAAACACTACATAAAGGCCTACAGCATCAGTAGATCTAGTATGAAACAGAACTCACCGGCACACATCTCGTGTGCTCTCCAGACTCTCAGACCTCTTTACATCACACGCGCCACAACATCACAAGCAGGACCGTCTTCAATCTCACATTTTCAAGCCTCCTCAAAGTCCAAGCATCCACGGTCGGACAACTTAAGCAAGCATCAAACAAGTGCTTCAAAGCCAGCGGTTAATATTTCAGAGCTGAGAAACCAAAACGGAGGGAAAGAGTGGCATACGCGTAGTGCCGGAGCGAAAAGGTAAATGAGTGAAAATAAATGGGAAGGACAAGAAAAGGGAGGGGAAAGAGAGAATGTGCCTCCCCGAGAGCTGTCTGACTCGTATGAAGGCCTCGCTGCCTCTCAGCCCCATTCAACCAATGCCGCCACTTGTCACATCAAACGTCGTTGCCGTAGCAACAGCTCCACATGTTGCTGATGGTGAAATGGTGGGGTGGGGGGTGGTAATGATGCCCTGGATAGGTCGTCCGTGAGAGAGAGAGGAGTGAAAAAACAGGCCGAAATCAACAGGAGCAGGAGGGGGTACAACGAATGGAGTGTAAGGAAAGTGCCATGGGCCCAAAAAGGGGTTTGTAAGTAATATGGTTTGGCAAGGACACAAACACTGAGTCTTCACATCTGGAACAATCGTACAACAGAAGATATATGAGATCGCACAAGCTGGGGACAATACGGGTAACACACCCTGCCAAAGATTTATAGAATAATAAGTGTTTAAATTGACACGACTGATAAATATGCTTTAAGATGGATTTATTATATTTTAAGCTGACAAGGATTTTCAGCATGCGCCATCCAATAAATATAAAAGTCCTAGGATACATCTGAAAACATTTTCTCAATTAAATTAATAGCTCATCCCAAAATAAAAATGTGGTCATCATTTACTCACACTTATGTTGTTCCAGAACTGTTTACATTTCTTTCTTCTGTTAAACACAAAAGAAGATATTTTGAAGAATGATGGTAACCAAACAGCTGATGGTCCCCATTGACTTCCATAGTATGGAGAAAAAAAAATACTATGGAAGCCAATGGGGACCAGCAACTGTTTGGTTACCATCATTCTTCAAAATATCTTAGGGTGAGTAAATGATGACAGAATTTGAATTTTTGGGTGAATTATCCCTTTAATAAGATTTCAGCGCAATCTCAGTGGGAGTGCTGAAACGGCATTGCTGTGTAGGTCACTGTGGGACGTAAAAGCTTTAATTCATTAAAGAAGTAAAGAAAGAGACTAACAGAGAGAGAAAGAAGCACAGAGAGACAAAACAGCCTAAGCATTTATCCCCATAAAAGGCGGACAAAAACAGTCAGGTGCAAGCAGGTCTCATTACTGAGGCAGAGAGAGAAAATTATAAGATAAAGGACAGGGAGAAAGCACACGCACACACTCACTCACTCACTCATACACCGTGCACTTCAGAGCAAAGAAAGTGTCACAGTCCACAATAGAACAAGAAAGAATAATTAAAAATATGAGCAGCCGGATGCAACAAAAGACATTATTCTGCATTCAAGGGTCTGCAACAGCTGTACAAAGTGAAAGGGGAGCGAGCGAGGGAGAGCAGAACGCCTCAATATGCACCGAGCACAAAAGCCACCCAAGAAAGTGGAGGAGCGAGGGAGAAAGGGATGGGGAGGGGTCAAAGGCAGAGGTAACAAAAAGAGAAGGGCCAAAAGAATGGCAGAGGGGAGAATGGCAGGGGACAAGAAGAGAAAGAATGAGTGAGGGAGAGAAATGAGGCACAGCGGGAAAAAACGCAGGAGGATTTGGGACGGGGGAACGGTACAGTGGGGACAGTTCGAGATGAACGGTGACGATTTCAAAAACATTTCATTTCAAATGCCCTCCTTGTTCGGTTCAGTATTAAACGCCAAAGTGATTCATGAGAACCGGGAATTATATCTCGGTACGTGATCTGTACATAAATAGATGGACAAAACTGTAGAATCTATGAATTTCAATGAGAACGTTCCCTGTTTGGTTGATGAGGGTGGTTATGCACAGAATAGTGACCTGTGTGGCCAATTCTGTTGCTGACTGACAAGAGAGAGTGGCTCATTATACCAACCAGTTCCCATAATCGCTAATCAATAGACCTGCTGATCACAGTGAACGTGTGGGTCTTGCGGATTGGTTGGAAGACATAAAAAAATGGGATAAGCATACCTCTCCCACTCCAGTCTGGATGATTTTCAATCCTGTCTCACCCTCAAGGAAATTCTTCTCAGCTACTGCAATGTAAAGACAATGAATGCTGGTGAATTAATCAATAAGTGCCTGCTCATTCTTTTTCCGTTTCATCAAAATGAACGGTCCAAACGAGAAGGCTTGTCACTCACCGGCTTTATTGGCCACATCCTCTGCGCTGAGATTAAGAGAGTTCTGTCGGATCCTGAACGTCAGGGCCGAGCCCACCACGCTGCAGACATGAGCAGAGACAAAGGGCCGATAGATCGCGTTTTCTTTTATTCTCACCCTTTATTCACTAATCTATCAGTCTCTCCATCCAGCAACGCACGCACACACACACACACACTTTACCTAATGTTGATGAAACTGCTCGTGGAGAGATGGATTCTCTCCGCCAGCGTCTCTAAGAGTTTCACCCCATCATAAAGACCTAAAGGACTGGAGGGAAAACACAAGACGACATACATTTATTTTATTATGAGCATTCAGCACAAATACATTAAATTAATTTCAAGGAACATTCAGCTGTATTGACATAAATACATCAGGAAATCATCAGAAATACACACCAGACTATATTTTTCAAAGATCTCAAAGAGGAAAAACTGATCTTAAATGAGTCTTTTAAAATTCTATAACATAAAAAAGGGAAGAATAAATTGGAGCAAACTATTTCTAATTTAAAAATTAAATTGGTATGTAGATTAGATTTCATGCAGTCATAATAAATATTTCCCAGATAAACCCTGTCGTACATTTTTGTAAAAACTGTTCAGGACTTTTTTCTTGGCATTTCCAGTCATTATTATATACATTATTTTAAATAGTATAAATAAATTTATAGCAATTTTCTGATGAAATATTTTAGAAATAAGCATAAAAAGAACATTTATATCAACTACAATTATGCTTTTTAATGACAATTTCCTGCTATTTTCATGTTTTCCATAACAATGGGAATACTGTGCTATTGAAATGCTCATCATTCTGCTTCATTACATTCATTACTTTCAAAGCAGAAAAGAAAAACTGTCCAACTGTTAAAAATCAGTCTTTTCACTGTACTCTGAGACAAAAAAATTAACTATGAAATAATACTAATACTGTACTAATTCTAATTCTACAAAAATTGTGTTTTTGGTAAAAACTTGAGCATGGACTGTGTCTAAAATGAACAGGCATCTGCTGTACAGTTCATCTATATAATGAACTGTACAGCATTAAAACCCTATAACGTTTTAGGAGCTCCTACCTCTGATTAGTGACAATGTAACCATATTCCTCTCTGGTGTTTGTCCCATCCTTAGCGGTTTCCAGGATGTTGGTGATTTTCTCTTTTAAATCTAGGTCTTTTACTGACAGGGTGGGCCCCACAGTGTCCCCACTGTCTTCCTTAGGCACAGTCGCAGGGGCTGGTGTGGATGGGGGCTGAGTAGGGGCCCGCTGGTATGTTGGGGTAGATGGCAGAGCTGAAACAGGTAAGGGGGGTTTCGCTCCTTTTTCTGTCACTTTATCACTGCCTTCTACAATTGTCTGTCGAGGAAAACACAAAGCGTTGTGTGTGAAGAAAAAAGCACAACATAGTACAAATAATTAACGTCACGATGTGGGAAGATTTGCATAACGCCGCCCAAATGTTCACGTGAAGAAAGAAAGCGTAACTTTATTGTTGCTGCCACCGCCGTGTTGTGAAGACGCTGTGTGTTTCGTTGCGAAAGCGAAAATACTTTGTTTGGCCTTCCAAAAGAGGACACGACTAGAAACAGTGATTAAGTTGCATTTACAACACTGTTCCAGAACAGTTCAACCCACATATTCAGATGTGTGCAGCGCATTTTATGGAGGACTGTTTCCTGAAACCACATAAACACATTTCATTACACCAAATACACAAAATAATGTTATTTTTAGCAACATCATATGACCCCTTTAAACCTGAAAATGCAATATACAGCTAATTAATAACTCCTTTTACTCTATCATGCTCTCTGATAAGTGGCAGTGTTATTTATATAATTAGATGACTCACTCAACTATGCATTAAAAGCAAAACAAATCCTGGTGAAAGTGTTACTTTCTTTAAGCATTTAGGTGAATACTTCAGACTGCAAATCTGCGTCTACCTCTTTTACCGTGACTGTCCCTGGGGATTGATCTGAGGAACACAAAGATAAGAAAAAACATCACACAGTGCTTTTGTCCCACAAATAATCTTAATGATATAAGAGTAGAAACTGAGGGATGCGTAAGACCTAATAATTTAATTATGATTCAAGCAGCGTGATAATGCATATGTCTGAATGCATGACATAAGTACATTTGTGTGTGTTGTGATGTCACTCTATACCTGCATTCTCCATATTTTGTAGCAGCTGTAACACTAAAGTAAGTCTTTTTATCTGCTGAGGGCTCAGGTCCCGTGGGTCCACCCCAAAACTCTTTAACAGTGTGGCCAGCTGTGCCAGTGTATCATCTACAACACAAATATTAACATGCTGAATGAAATGAAAACATCAGCACGCACCACCACTAACAACTGAAAAAAAAAATGCTACATTTACACGTTTATTTATCCAAAGCAAGTTACATTGGATTCAAAGTACAGATTTTACAAGTTTAAGCATTTTCTGGGATTTAAAACATGACCTTGGTGTTACTAGCACCAAAAGTTCTACTATTTTAGGTACAGGAATCCTAGCCCTGAGTTTTGCAAAAATGTATCTTATCATACTTGCTCTCTAAACAGCAAACAAGCTTAAAATACACATCTGTTCAAGCACAATACAATAAACAGCTCCATAATATAATTTTAATCCATTCTAAACTAAAGCAAATGGGAAAACTGCAGACTTCAATATTGTTTACTATGACATCCTCTTGAGGGCACAATATTTGAAGCGTCCCAAAAAAGGTACTCACCATCAAGTCCAGCAAGAGAGCTGTAGTCCTGAGGGATTTTCTTGCTGTTGCTCTGGACTGAGCTGGCCTGTTCCTTTAGGGTGTAGTCCTCTCCATATTCCAAAGGGAAATCTAGATCTTCATAGTATGGGGCGGCAGGGAGGGCTGCTGCCCCCCTGTGGCGGAAAGAGGGTTGTGTGGAGGAGAGGTAGAGAGAGACAGCATCTTCCAAGAGCTGACGGTCTCTGTCTCTTTGCTGGGCTCCTGCTCGAGAGGGGGGTCGTTGGTATCCCATGCTGGTGTGAGGATGGAGAGAATGGGTCATGTCCTCCTGTTAGGGAACAATGAGAGAAATTAATATAAAAAGGTACGATAAATCTGTTTGATTTTCTATGCTACTTAAAAAAAATAAAAGAGCCTTACTTGTAGGTATGAATATGGGTCCATTGGTAGGGCTTGCATCCGGAGCGAGGAGGACTGGTGGGGGTCTAGGACCATGTAATCCATGTAGCTCTGAGCTGGACCAGGTTCAGAATTAGAGCTAGAATAGACCTTCTTAGCTGCAGCCTGTGGCGGCCTAAAAAAATTCAGTCAATTACATTAAATCTAATAAAAGAGATCAAACATCTGAGGTCTGAGAGACCTCTGAAATCAAGTTTTCCAGCCTCAGGTAGGAAGGGTACTGGTCTTCTCATTTCTAATAATGGGAAATACTCAACCCACTCTTCTCTATGCAATAGAAATTCGTTTGAGTTTCATGCTATTATGGTAACAGTTCCTGTTAAACTCCATATTGTAATGATTTATCACCTTCCTGGTCAACTGGGCACCTTTATAGAGGAGCTGTATGGGCTGCTGTCCTCATTCTCTGTGGATGGCAGTCCACTTGTAGTCTTTGGTGACTTCGAAATCCATCTGGAGAAGCCTTACACTGCAGACTTCCACTTCCACTCCTAGCTTCATTCGATCTCAAATGGCTTACCACCACAAGCTCTAACATATCAGGCAACCAGCTTGACTTAATTTACACATGCAATTTTATCACAGACAACATTTGGTAAAACCTCTAGACATCTCTGATAATTTCTTTATTACATTTAACCTACATATTACTACCTGTGTGCCACCAATTCCTCTACCAGTTTCTTTTAGGCAAAACCTATGCTCCCTTTCACCCTTTCACCCTTCCATCTTTCCTCTGTAGTGTCATCCTCTCTTCCCTCACCCACCCATTTCTCATCTCTGGTTGTAAATACAGCAACTGACACTTTATGATGCACTTTAACTTCTTGTCAAGACTATCTGTGTAGACAGGCCAGTGCATAATACCACTTCTAACCTAAAAAGTTGCCCCATGTATCATCATCTTTACTGTATTTTTGCTGAGCAGTCTTTTGGGTTGCTCACCAATGTATTCCTCTAATGCAAAAAATTAAGTAGACTTGACCAACATTTTTTGTGGGGAGAAGAATTTATTGAAGATGGTAGTGTAGCAGTTCTTCAACAGCGATGTTGGCATGTCTTCCTTCAAACAATTTTACCCTTGTATGAATCCTAGCTTCTCCCAAAGTTCTGTCTGTGGGACATAACTTTATACCTGAAGACAAAAGGGCTAGAAACAATACTGTTAGGACCTTCCCACTGAAGATCCTGCAATCTACAAGACGTTCCTGAGGAATGCTGTTCCTTTGTAATTCTAATGGAATGGACCATTTGGTTCACACCTGTTACATTATTTCTTTCACAGAATGACCAACTGAACTTTAACCAATCAGGTTTCAGCAGCGGCCATTCAACTGAGACTGCTTTGCTGTCGGTCAGTCAAGCCCTGCAGCGAAAGCTGATTCCAAATCATCAGTTCTTATTCTGCTAGCAGATGACAGTACTTCTATTGCAAAAACTGGTAATATAATGAATCAGAAAATAAATGAAGTGTTAAATATTAAAACCGTGGGAATTGTTTTGTTGTCAGTACCATAATAAAATCAACGTAATTTAATGCAATGTATCCTGATAGATAAAATGTAGAAAAAAATTTAGCTTTTCTTTTTCATTATAAACTTTTTTGTATATAAATAATTATTGATTTCTTTATTTTATTTTTATTTCAAATCAGTGAAATGTAATAAATTAACAAACAAAAATGATGTTGTTAGCAAATTGTTTTAATACACTTAGCACATTGACATTTGAATGTTTACTCTAGCCAATGAATATGAGTAACAGGGAATTAAAAGGCAACGAATAGCAAAGTTACCAGCTGTTTACTGTCGCGGGATACATGATTTAATGCTTCATATTTTCCAAAAATAAAAAGCACAAAAATAATAGCATTACCACTGTAAATGTGTGTGTGTGTGTGTGTTAGCCTACAAAACCTCAAATCATAAACATTGTATAGCCTGGCCAGAGAGAAAGATGGCTTAATAAACATACTAAATAATGTCTTAATGAATCTGTGGTTATGTTTTGAGGTAGGGGCTTGAAAATATTATTAGCCCAGTATATAAACAACAGAAGGAATTTTAAAGTCCCCACCATGACAGAAAATTAAATGTGTGTGTGTATGTTTACCCTGAATCATCAACTCTTTGAGCACTTCCTGCAGTCTCTGAAGAACAGGAACAGAGACCTGGTACTGAACCTGGTCATGTCTGGAGCTCCGGCACTGTCCAAAGAGTTTGTCTGTAACACATACAAACACAAACCATTCATATCTAGAACACTGAATACAAAATCTGGAAAGGAAACCTCTTTTAAAATAATATAATATAAACTAACATAATATTAAAATAACGTTTTGATAATGATCTGAAACGCATCTTCTGAATATTATGTTGAAAAGTTACTGATGTCAGTATAAACATCAAAATAATCAAATATAAAGCATCTTAAACACTTGTATATATATACGGTGTGATTACGAAGCACATTAAAATGTTGCAAACAAAATAGCCCATAAGTGAAAAATGAGCCAGTTTCTTGATAAATAAACACCCATATAACATATTCAACCCACCCCACACATACACTCACATCCCACACATATACCACTGACTCATCCCTGACTAAACCTCCAGTTGTGTGGTTTAAAAAAAGCCCTTGATCCCTTCACGCAGATGAGCTCGAAACATGAACCCGGCCATTTTCTATATCTCAGAGCAGGTCTGTCCATGAACATGACTCACAGCTATTTATAGTACAGACGGAGATGTGAGAGCACTATGGGGGAGATAGATCAGTTGCCCTGGGGCATGGAAATACACAGTACATTATTACATCGCAATAGAAGTGACCCCGGAGAACTGATGTCACACCATCACTTCAGCAAAAGAAAGATGTACAGTTAAGGAGTAACAAACACAACACAAAATTATTTTCTTCCTCTCATAATATATACATGAATATTCATAACAGACATGTTTCAGGAGTTGCTGCATTTTTATTTTGTTTTATGGCTGACTATACTAATCCCAGATTATCGTGGTTCTAAACTAAAGCAATAAGCCCCAAGAAGCTGTGGTTTACATGTATGTTATTGGCTTCGCTTGGCGTCGTGCCTAACAACGCCCCTTAGCTGTTATAAATTCACTGTAAATCACGGGGAGACATGGAGCAGAGGTGGGAGGGACTTGACGGTGAGAGAGAAGAGCAGGTGACAGAATACTAGTGGTTCATGGCTGTGGAAATACGTACACAGGTAAATCCCTGAGAGGAGTACAAAATAACAGACGGAATGTGAATGATTCCAGTTTGGAATTTTCAGGTAATTGCATTCAAACAAAAACAATTCATTCTCAAATCATACTGGTTTTACATCATTAAGTTTGTGCAGCTGAAATTTGTTTAAATCCATTTTTTTTACTTTCCATTCAAATTGTTAAACTAATAATATCATTTGTAACAAAAAAAATATGGTAGCACTTTTTTTTAGCAATTTTTGGTTACAAAATTGTTCATTTGTTACAGTATTTATTCATTTTTGTTATAGTTAGTTAATAAAACACAACTGTTCATTGGTAGTTCATGTTTGCTCAGGTCCATTAAATATAATGTTAACAAATGAAACCTTATTGTAAAGTGTTACAGAAAAAAAAGAAAATTTAGAAAATAATGCAAAATACAAGAATTTCCAGATTTTTGCAACCCATTGTATCTTCATGTGGACATCTATGTAAAATACTGACACAAAGAACATAAACATCTGCCTCCTGTATGCACCAACACTATCTTCGTTAATGCTTACTAATATGAAATGAGTGAAGTGAAAGTTCCTGCAGTGTAAATTATTTAGCTGTGTGCATGTGTCTCCTGTTGCGTCGTAGCACTAGCAGGATGTAACAGAGCCAAGTGTCAAGTGATGATCAGGAAATCACAATTAGATCATCAAGAGCAAGAAATAAAGAGACAGGACGCAGAAGATAGAACCACGTCCTTGTTTCTGAACGTAAGATGTACTGTATCTACGCCATATGATATTGTCTCCCTATTGTGATACTCACCATCAGAGCAGAACTGCTCCCTAGAGCACAGCCTCTTCTCAAACAAACAGCCTGTATGCCAATCAGAATCAAGGACCAGAACTATCCTTTTTATAATGCTTATTTAACCCCGGGTAAATTTCCTTTACTAATTAAACGTTTCACATTTGCAATTTAGAAGCGGGGTTAGCAACGCTTTTTACCCGGGGTAACGAAACCCTGCGCAGGAGCAGTTAGCACCACATAACACTGCGTCGTTAATTGTCGCATTGCTGAACTGAACTTGTACAGTGTAACAGTGTAACAATGCTGTGTTAAAGCTAAAGGCTGGACAGACACACACTTGGAAGATTTTAAGGCCAATTTTAAGGCCAATTTTAAACCACGATTTGGGGGGTTGGGCGTGGCCCGATTCGAGGTTTGTTGCAAACGAGTTTTTGTCCAAAAAATCCTGGTGTCATTTAACTGCTCCCGATCGAGAGTAGCATCCCCGAACTCAAATTGTAAATATCAAGCATGATTGATATTTTTGATATAGACGTTCCATTCTTAGTTAAATCCGAAAAGTCCATTCAGGAAAAGCAGCGAGTAACACCGCAAATATTAAAATATTTTACTAAAATTAGGTTATATACTAATAATATGATATTATATAGGTTACCATACTATTATATAATATTATATTATAGCTATAGTAATATAATACTATAATACTACGGATCTGAAAATCGTCTAGTAGAGTGTCCCTCGTTAGCAACAGACAACCAGTCGCGTGCTTTGGATCACAAAAACACCACCGTCTGCGTTTGAGGGGAAAAATGTCAAATGGTGACGGAAAACCATTTAGATAAAGAGACCGTTTCATTCTTACCTTTAAAGTCTGCATGAAACGGAAGTAGCGATTGTCTTTTCTCCTCTACTGTGACGTATATCCGAGTGAAACGGCATCTGAAATGAGAGGGCGGGACTTGATTTCGTCCTTCGGGAATTGATTGGATCATTGGAAGCTGGGGCGTTGCTAACAAAATGGAGGCAGATCTGAATGCCAGTTTGCAGTTAGTGGTGGGGGATTGCACAGCCTCTTCTCAAACAAACAGCCTGTATGCAAGAGACAGAAAGAGAGAAGAAGAGGAGCAGTTGAAAACAGAATAAAACATTAACATTAAATTGACAAGAACTGTCAAATGTATTTTTATCAATGGAGATATAGTATACTTTTTTCAAGTGATGTCTAAGTGACCTTTCCTTCACCAACACATTCATCTCAGCCATAAACCAATGCATCAAATCTGTCTTTCCAACTTTCTGACTCTGGTACTAGAGTTATAGCTTAAAAACACAATCGTATTTTTATCAATGGAGATATAGTATAGACTTTTTTCAAGTGATGTCTAAGTGACCTTTCCTTCACCAACACATTCATCTCAGCCATAAACCAATGCATCAAATCTGTCTTTCCAACTTTCTGACTCTGGTACTAGAGTTATAGCTTAAAAACACAATCCGCATATAAAAGCATATAAACAATATTGAATCAAGATAAGAATCATTCGTCCATGATGGCCTATGACTGCAGTAGCTAGTTTCCCCTAAGATGTAGAACTGCTGTGTGGGCAGATAGAATGAGGAGAAAAACTCTGAGCATGTGCTCAACACAGCTGATCAATATCACCAACCATATCTGCCAGAGCATGACCTGGCTATGCTTAAGTGTGTATATGGGTGTGTGTATGTCTGTTTGTGTGCCTGAATATATGTATGTATGTGTGTGTGTGTGTGTGCGTGCGTGCGTGCTCGCACGCGCGAGAGAGAGAGAGAGAGAGAGAGAGAGAGAGAGAGAGACTGCCTGAATGACTGAGCGCGTCCTCCATCAGGTTAAGTCATATTCATGAAAAAAATTAGTTTGCAATGTCCTAAGAGTAATGTTGTCGTACTATCCTAATATCTTTTCCATGTTTAGGGGTAACGTCCTCCCTCATGACTGGTGTCAGTGCTATAAAGTGAAGCATCAGCTTCAGCTTTTCCCCCTGTCGTTTATCCCAGCGTTCACCCCTCACGTCACTAGCTCCGCCCTTGCGCCATAGCTTGTGACCGGAAGAGAAGATGTTTTGAGGGGGAGGGGAGGTTAACGTTTTTGATTAAAGATTATGAGGGCACATGAATTAAAAAAAAATAAAGAAGTGCACGGATAAATTATTTATAATAAACACTACAGTATTCCATAAAAAAAATAACAATTTTCAATTTTGATTTCATGCCGACTTTAAGT